AGAATATTTTTTAAGAATAATATTAAAATAATATTAAAAATAATATTAAAAATAATATTAAAAATATTTTAAAATGGAAAATTAACCAAAAAATGGCCCAAATGTGGACCAAACACAGGCAAGAGACAGCAAATGAAGCAAGCAGCACTCACAGCAGCAAGGAATGAATCCAATCCGAGTTGCTAGCAGCCATTGCCAAGCCAACCCAATGCAAACTCCCTCGCCCTCTTGAAGCTACGGGCCGCGCGGAGCCGCTTTGAAAGGGCTCGCCGGCCAATCAAAAACAGGCAGCCACGGACCCATGGTGGTGCACTGTTTGGGAGCGCCGGATTGGCTCCCAGGCACCAGCACTCCAGCAGCCTCCACCCCATTAACGAAACGAGCGGAGGCTCGTTAAAACTATGGGGGCTGCTGGTTCGATATTTAAAACCCTTCCGGGTTTGGAAATATGTTTCAATATCGCTTCGGAAATGGTAAAAATAACGAATTAATAACGAATTAACGAACGAAACCGCACAGGCCTAGTGGATACGTCCAGCTCTTCTAGACGGCTACTGGGGGCGTGGCCTTCAGGAACAGCTGTTCTTTCCCACGCCCACCTCCTTCCTCTTTGCATTGGCGGCTTTGCACGCCCGGCAATGCAAATAGGGACAAGGTGGGATGTGGGTAAGAACAGCTGTTCCTGAAGGCCACTGGAGGCGTGGCCTTCAGGAAGAGCTGCTCTTAGCCACGCCCACCTCATTCCCCTGCCATCCGCATTGCCGCTTGTCGCCAGGGAGGCCAGGGAAACTGCGAGATTGTAAAACTTGCACCAGACATCTGAAAATAATTCCAAAAAATTGGTAAATTGTTTCAATTCGTAATTACTCCTCACCCTATTCCAGCATGGCTCGAAATTGTTTCAAAGGTCAATTTAATCCGAATTAATTTCGATTTTAGAATCTTCCGATCAAAATTGACCAAGCCTATTAGCTAAGACTTTGGCTGCCCCCCGCCAGACTCATTTTTGGTGATTCAGCAGCAGATTTGTCTGAATCCCCCAAATTTGGTACATCAAAAGGATATTGTGCATACCCTTACTTTCTGTTATTTCTAACCCATGGTGATCCTGGTATCTGGAATTCTTGGCAAGATCAATTCAGAGAATGGTAGCCATTTCTTTCCTCTTAGACCTTGTGCCCAAGGTCATACAATGAATTTATATGGTTGAGCTGTGTAAAGGAGGGTAAAACTACTGCCACCAAATTTTTGAGGAAAGCCGGGCAATGATCAACAGCAACTTAGGAGCTGGTTTATAAAGGGATTATTATTTACAGAAGTATTGATAGCGTAGCGTTTTCTGTCCCTGGTTAGGTTTTACTTCTTATGCAGGCTGTTTGACTTAAGAGAAACTGTATCAGGCAAGGCTTGAGGAAAACAGTAACAAGTTTATTTTAACAGGAGTATAACATGTTTAATTGTTTCTTCACAAGAGGCACGAATCTTGTTTGGTTACATTAGTAAGGTTTCGTGAATAACCTCAGGCACAGACTTCAAGAGGTTTCTATAAGCAGATGTATCTCTTCTGGACAACTGTCCCAATAAAACAAATAAGCCAAAAGGCCTATTCAACAGAATTGGCTCCCAGCCAAACCTTGATTCTTAACCCAGACTCAATAACCCCCTGTAGTTTTATCACTACCGGGTCCTTTCCTGTAACCCCTTTGGTCACAAATTAATTCCCTGAATCTCCACCCAGAGATTCAGTCTTCCCTGTAGCTCACCAGCTTACAGACTGCCACTTTCAAACAGCTGGCCCGTGAAGAGGCAGTTGGCTCTGCCCCCATTGCTATGGCAACTCAGCTCAAGCCACCAGCCACCATCTCTAACAAAATATAATCCTACATACTTACCATTTATTAACTACTGTTTAAACAACACATAACCATAAGAATAAAAGTTACACATCGTCACAAGCTGGAACTCTGATCTCCCCAAATCCTACTCTAGACCCTTGATCATTTTAGTCACCCTCCTCTGGACACATTCCAGCTTAGAATCAACATCTTCCTTAAAGTGGGATGCCCAGATTTAGATACAGTATTCCAGGTGTGGTCTGACCAAGGCAGAATAGGAGGGTAAGCATGACTTCCCTGGATCTACTTATATCGAGTCTCACGTATCTCAAATGCTTGGGAGGAGAAGTTTTGGATATGAAGCTTTCCCCTCTCTGCGCAGTGGATATGGGAGAGGAGTTTGCCTCTTCCCACGAAGGGAGAGAATATAGTTCTGGCTGGAACTACTTTACAGGGGGTGGAGCCAGGCTCTCAGCACTGGCCGCCCCCCTTCCTCATTCTGAAGCTGAGCGTCGACCCACCACTCCCGCCCATTAAACAGTATATTATGGTTGCTATTAGGGGGCCGTGTAGGAATTTTTTTCCCCTTATGTTCTAAGAGGGTTTTTTGCCTACCTTATACTGTTACAAGGCAAATTGGGATGGTGTGGCATTAAATAGGTGGTCACGATAAATAATTCAGAAAAGCTAAAATTAGGTGTACGCCCAAGACACATCCTTCAGGGGTGAAGGCCATTAACTAAAACTCACCTAAGGTTCAATTTGATGAGGTGAGGGGAATTATAATGGCCTAAAAATAGAGAGATTGTGGTCTCAGATACTCTGAGAGGGACTTCTCTGACACATTTCCTTCAGAGGTTACATGGATTGGGTGTCCAGGGGACCTGGGTGTTTCACCCTAACTAGCTGAGAGGTAGGCCGGACAGAGATGCTACCTCGGCTTTGCCACCAAGTTCAAGATGCATAAAATTGAGATCCAGTCAAAGTTAAACAGGTAACAATTAATAAAAGTTGCCCATATTTCAAACCCAAATATTGGTGTGTAGTCTCATTATTTCGGGGGTTAGCAGGCAATGATTTTTGTGGACAATTTCAGGTTTCAGAGTATTTTGGATTTGGAAATTCTGAATAAGTAATGTATTAAAAGCTCTTATTGGGATAAATGGGAGAGAAGTCACATCTAGGAGCCAAGCATTCTTCTAAATGCTTGGCTCCGAAGGACACTCCAGACACCATCTGCCTAGATATGGTTGTAACAAAGGAACAGTGAGAAGTGGATTTCCTTCCAGGTCTGCTAGAATGTCATAATTCCAGGTCTCTATTCAGTTAAAGATGTCTGAAACAAATGGATTTGCTCCCCTCTGGATTTTAAGTGAATGGTTCATTGGATGGTTGACCATCTTGAAAGCTTCTGTTGATGTATGATGACTACAAGGTAGTTATCCTGGATTAAACTCTGAGGACAGCTAGTGGAGGAACCTGACCAGGACTAAGTCCTAAACTAAATCCAGACAAGACAGAGGTCCTCCTGGTCAGTCAAAAGGCCTAACAGTGCATAGGGTTACAGCCTGTGCTTGATGGGGTTACACTCCCCCTGAAGGCGCAGGGAGTGATCCTGGACTCACCGCTGAGCCTGGAACCCCAGGTCTCGGCGGTGGTCAGGGGAGCTTTTGCACAATTAAAACTTGTGTGCCAGCTGCGCCCGTACCTTGGGAAGTCTGACTTGGCCACGGTGGTCCACGCTCTGGTTACATCCCGTATAGACTACTGCAATGCTCTCTACATGGGGTTGCCTCTGAAGACTGCCCAGAAACTTCAACTAGTCCAACGAGCAGCAGCCAGATTACTAACAGGAGTGGGGTACAGGGAGCATACTACTCCTCTGTTGCATCAGCTCCACTGGCTGCCAATCAGCTTCCGAGCACAATTCAAAGTGCTGGTGTTGACCTATAAATCCCTAAAATACTCCGGCCTAGTTTACCTGTCCGAACGGATTCTCCCCTATGAACCATCAAGGTTGTTAGGATCTTCTGGAGGGGCCCTGCTCTCGGTCCCACCACCGTCGCAATCGCGTCTGGTGGGGACGAGGGACAGGGCCTTCTCGGTGGTTCCCCTCGGCTCCCCTCGGCTCTAATCTCCCGTTGGAGATTAGATCTGCCCCTTCCCTCCTGACTTTCAGAAAGCTGGTAAATACCTGGCTTTGGAATATAGCATTTGCAGAATGATGATCGAGTCAATAACGGCTGACCACACCGGCGGATGGTGATGAATTTGTGATTTTATTCTGACGACCTGGCTTTTGTACTTGTATGATATTGTATGATCTGTATTTTAATGTATTTTGTATTAATGTATTATGATGCTATTATGTTTACTATGTTTGTGTTGAATTTTCTGCTGTTGGCCGGCCTGAGTCCCTCTTCGGAGGTCGGGTTATAAAAGCTCTAAATAAATAAATAAGTTCTTATGAGTCTGATTGGATGAGATGACCACTTGGACCCTACCCCCCTCCACACATCAACATCAGTTCGATCATGGATGAAACACACGACACAAGCGCTTTTCAGAATGCAAGTGACATTTTAATGTAAAAGCAAATGAACATGAACAATAGCAGAGACAAGAGTTGAAATAGGTTGTAGACTACTATATCCCATATTCCAAAAATGTGTTGTTTTTGTCAGCTGCATGGAATGAGATTGTGGGGGGAGATCACAATGGAAGTAGCATGGTCCATCAGTGGTAGATCTTGGTCCTGAACATGATCCCAGAATTGGAATCATTGGATAATTCTCCCCAAAAATTCAAAACAATCTCCTAAACCAGTGGTTCTCAACCTGGGGTCCCCAGATGTTTTTGGCCTTCAACTCCCAGAAATCATAACAGCTGGTAAACTGGTTGGGATTTCTGGGAGTTGTAGGCCAAAACATCTAGGGACCCACAGGTTGAGAACCACTGTCCTAAACACAGTGGTAATAACACTTTCTCAGCCCAGAACCCACTTTGGTGTCAACTACTTGTGTATGAACTTCTAGATCAGTGGTTCTCAACCTGGAGTCCCCAGATGTTTTTGGCCTTCAACTCCCAGAAATCCTAACAGCTGGTAAACTGGCTGGGATTTCTGAGAGTTGTAGGCCAAAAACATCTGGGGACCCCAGGTTGAGAACTACTGTTATAGATGAAAGAGATCCAACACAAACACCATCTCAAACTCTTAGATTGGGTTGAATATATTCATCTATCATAAGCTTTTACTTTTGTGTGAAACGCAAGCAACCTATAAGGATTTTCAAACTAACCAGCCCCATCCCTGTGTAATAGCTAGAACCAACATTACACTGAAATTCAGAAAATAGACATCATGCGTGACAAACATAAGGGAAAACATGCACGGAGGGCCTAAACAACAATATTAGCAGGGCTACAACTCATATCAAGTATGATTTCAGGTCTTCTACATTTGTAAGGACAGTTCAAGTGATGGATTCAGATCTTCTCTTTGGTGCCTGCATTATCCTTCCCCTTCTTCTTCTCAGATCTCTTTGGGTTTAGTATCGGTAAGTGCTGTAGCAGTAGTTGCTGCTTGGCAGAGCCCGGGAGTAGAAGTTGGAGAAGTTGGTGCCACCGCTAGCATACAAGGCAGGGTTGCCACCACCATAACCACTTCCGGCACAAGGGTTCTGCTGCTCAATGCGGAAAGGTTGGTCGGGGCAGTAGAGGGCAGGGCCGGGGATGTTCAGGACGAATGGAGGTGGCTGGATGGTCACCGTGGAGGCCGGGCAGCTGGCGTAGCATTGGTTTCTTCCACCCTCAGACATCTTTGGAGGCTTGGAGGATAGTCTGAAACCACAGGAGTAGGACTATATTAAATTCGTTTGTTAATCTATGTTCCTCTGTTCAGAGACATCAACCTTATGGAATTTAGATATTCAAGAAACATATTGGTTAAGAAGACAAGAAGACCACTGCTGTATGGAGAAAGTAAGACATATTGATAAAGTATTGGACGTCAAGAAGTTAAGAACACTGTTGGATAGCAGACCAAGTGTTCCTCTCAGTCAAAAGGGGTATTTCAAAGCAGAGTATGGAGAAAGTAGGCATTGAAGGTCAAGATAAACATTGGTTAAGAACACAAGAAGAACATAGTTGGACAGTGGGTCAAGCGTTCCTCTCATTTGAAAAGCATATTTTAAAGCAAATATGGAGAGTGTGGACACATCAAGATGGTGTTTGAACTCTAGGTAAACATTTCTTCCATCCAGATGCATATTTTTGGTGTAGAAGACCCACAYTGGTGAAGAACACAAGAAGAACATAGTTGGACCTAGAGTTCAAACACAGTCATGATGTGTCCACACTCTCCATATTTGCTTTAAAATGTGGCCAAGTGCTCCTCTCATTTGAAATTTAAAATGTGGCCAAGTGCTCCTCTCATAGTTGGCCAAGTGCTCCTCTCATTTGAAAACCATATTTTAAAGCAAATATGGAGAGTGTGGACACATCAAGATGGTATTTGAACTCTAGGTAAACATTTCTTCCACCCAGATGCATATTTTTGGTGTAGAAGACCCACATTGGTGAAGAACACAAGAAGAACATCGTTGGACAGTGGGCCAAGTGCTCCTCTCATTTGAAAACCACATTTTAAAGCAAATATGGAGAATGTGGACACATCATGATGGAATTTGAACTCTAGGTAAACATTTCTTCCATCCAGATGCATATTTTTGGTGTAGAAGACCCACATTGGTGAAGAACACATGAAGAACATAGTTCGACAGTGGGCCAAATGCTCCTCTCATTTGAAAACCATATTTTAAAGCAAATATGGAGAGTGTGGACACATCATGATGGTATTTGAACTCTAGGTAAACATTTCTTCCATCCAGATGCATATTTTTGGTGTAGAAGACCCACATTGGTTAAGAACACAAGAAGAACATAGTTGGACAGTGGGCCAAGTGCTCCTCTCATTTCAAAACCACATTTTAAAGCAAATATGGAGAGTGTGGACACATCATGATGGTATTTAAACTCTAGGTAAACATTTCTTCCATCCAGATTTTTTTGGTGTAGAAGACCCACCAATATCATCCAAAATAGTCAGTGAACTGTGGGATGTCTGGTGCAAATATCTGCACCAGTGTTCCTCAACCTTATTTTAGATCTTTCTTGGAAAGGGATGTCAGGAGAACCTTGTGTAACTAGAATGACAGTCAAGTTATAGTGAGGGTCTATAGCAGTGGTTCTCAACCTGGGGTCCCCAGATGTTTTTGGCCTTCAACTCCCAGAAATCCTAACAGCTGGTTAACTGGCTGGGATTTCTGGGAGTTGTAGGCCAAAACACCTGGGTACCCACAGGTTGAGAACCACTGGTCTATAGACAAATAACTAGGACAGTGGTTCTCAACCTGTGAGTGCCCAGGTGTTTTGGCCTACAACATTCAGCCAGTTTACCAGATGTTAGGATTTCTGGGAGTTGAAGGCCAAAACATCTGGGGACCCACAGGTTGAGAACCACTGCACTAGGAGAAGGTCACATTGTCCAATCTGTTCTGGAAAAGGTTGGAAGGATCTAAGATGAAATCTCTCAAAGACAATCTACCTTGCTACCTAGAGGACCATGTCCACAACTGGATAGGTCAAGGCTAGAGTAGATTTTTCTTCCTCTTCCACTGAGCTATGAAGAAAGGACAAGTTATCTTCCTAGCATCTCCATCTTCCCTGGATAAGCAAAGCTGTATGTGAAACCCTGGAGAGTATCCAAAGTTAGAGTGAAAAAATGCATGATGTATTGTTGAAGGCTTCCATGGCTGGAATCACTGGGTTGTTGTAGGTTTCTCGGGCTATATGTTCTAGAACAGTGCTTCTCAACCTGTGGGTCTCCAGTGTTTTGGCCTTCAACTCCCAGAAATCCTAACAGCTAGTAAACTGGCTGGGATTTCTGGGAGTTGTAGGCCAAAACACCTGGGGACCCATAGGTTGAGAACCACTGTTCTAGAATGCTTCTAGAACATGGCCATATAGCCCGAAAAACCTACAACAACCCAACCCATGACGAACTTGAATTTATCACACCTTCAAGCATAGAGAAGGCTATAATGCAAAGCAAGAGTGCAAATACTATACAGCCCACCCTTGTATTTGAAGACCAACAATATAATTGTAACTTGAGCTATATATAAATATATAGTTCCATAAAAATATAGCAATTTGATCAATATACGGAGAGAACAAGAGTGCTATGGTGTCCTGGGAAATGCAGTTGGGTGAGGCACTAGCACTCCTGGACAAGGAAGCTGCAAAACTACAACTCCAAGGATCTCACAACCTCTGGGGATGCCTACCATAGATGCAGGTGAAACATCAGGAGAGAATGCTTCTAGAACATCGCCCAAAAAACCTACAACAACCCAGTGATTCCGGTCATGAAAGCCTTTGACAATACATTGAACTCCAAGGATGTAAAACTACAACTCCCAGGATTCCATAGCATTGAGCCCTGAAAGCTACAGTGGGGTCAAACTGCGTTCATTCTATAGTGTTGATGCACCCTGACTCTCAGTAATGTCTATCAGATATTACCATATTCCACACACCTAGAGAAAACCATATTCCACACACCTAGAGATCATAGCTATGGCCCCAGAATTCAAGTAAGACTTACCTGGTTCTTGAAAAAGCAGGAAAGATATGATGCGCTTGGAGGAAAACAGGTGGATTACCTTTTTATACTCTTCATCTCGTAGCCAGGGGCATAATTAAGCCTCTTTTGGGGATAAGCACGATGATCCGATCAGCTGCAATAGGAAACACCCCAGATTGCGATAAGGCCAAGACGCCCTTTCTTTGATGAGCAAATAGCCGTGAATTGTTTCTTAATTGACCTTCTCAGTATTCATCCTCACCATGTTTCACCATGGTGTGTGGGCAAAGGACACTCTAATTGACTGCTCATTGTAATTAATCTGAGAAGCAAGCTTGCCACATCAACAGGTTGGTCTTCAAACTCAGAAGGTCTCCATCAATGATGTGGTGGAGCTAGTGACCATTAAGATGTACTGCTTCGGTACCTGGAAGATCAATCAATGACAGTTGACCATTGCCTATCTACCGATCATCCATCCATCTATCTATCTATCTATCTATCTATCTATCTATCTATCCATCCATCCATCCATTAGGCTTGTTTGATCCAATAAAAATGGTTCAAAACGCATTTCGGATGGTTCGTATCTAAAGTCAATTCTGATTTTCACAGAAAATCCTTCGTTAAGGAATTCAAAGTGTTATTTCCTGTTTCATTGGGTGGTCTTTACTTTGAAAATAGTTGTTTATGGAAGGGGGGGGGGAGAGAAAAGGGAAGGAATCGTGGGAGGGAAAGGAAACCAAGGGAATCCATCCAAATTGGGTTAAACTGCATCTCTTGCCCAAGGCTGACCAGGAGAGAATGGAAACTGAAGGGAATCCATCCAAACTGCGTTAAACTGCATCTCTCGCTCAAGGCTGACCGAGAGGGAAAGCCAACCGAGGGGAATCCATCCAAACTGGTTTGAAAAGGTGAATAATTTCCAACTCACTTACTGATTCGTAAGAGAAATTTTGGAAAAAGCTTCAGAAGGGCAAAGAGACTTCCAATTTCCTTAAAAACTTAGAAATAGCTTCAAAAAAGGAAATCTTTCCAAATTTATTCTGAATTACGAAGATTCCGACCAAACCTAACCATTGTTGTTGTTGTTCATTCGTTCAGTCGTCTCCGACTCTTTGTGACCTCATGGACCAGCCCACGCCAGAGCTCCCTGTCGGCCGTCACCACCCCCAGCTCCTTCAAGGTCAGTCCAGTCACTTCAAGGATGCCATCCATCCATCTTGCCCTTGGTCGGCCCCTCTTCCTTTTACCTTCCACTTTCCGCAGCATAATTGCCTTCTCTAGGCTTTGCTGTCTCCTCATGATGTGGCCAAAGTACTTCAACTTCAACCTAACCATGCCTACTATCTATCTATCTATCTATCTATCTATCTATCTATCTAAATTAAAATATGTATGTTTGTTTGTATGCAATTCCCAAGATGGCTCCCACTTCCAGAGAGCCCTATGACCCCAATCAATGAAGGATATGGACCAAACTTATACCCTCCCATCCCCTACCAACTTTAAGTTCTGGCAATGTTTGAGAGGGATGGACCTCAGATGATGGGAATGGTAGTTTACTCAAATTCTTCACAACCTATGAGAATGCTTGCTATAGATGCAGGCGAAACGTCAGGAGAAAATGCCTCTAGAACACGGCAATATAGCCAGAAAAAACCTACAACAACCCAGTGATTCCAACCATGAAAGCCTTTGACAATATAAATATTGAGTTCAGTTGGCAACCCTAATTTGGCATTGCACGATTGAATAAAAAGAGTTAAGCGATGTCACCTTGGATGTGGATGCACCAATTTGTCAATTTCGTGTTCTTGTATTTTTGTGCGTATTTATTTCTCTCAAGTTCTTTCAGTCCTGAACGTAAACAAACGTAGGAATGTTTAAAACGTTTCAGAACTGTAAAATATGTGGAAAAAAAACCACTCCCCATCTTAAGCTACCATGGCTTTTGAGCAGACATTGTTTAATATATTCCAATCAGCCGGTCCGTCCGGTCTTCGTTGGAGCTCCCTTCCATTTGCTCTCCTATTCTTTGCATTCTGTACTCCATGGACAGTGAATATTTTGAATGTCTGAGATCTGTCCTCATTGGACTATTCCTGGAGTCCCTTCACCTAGTGCTCCCTCTATGTCCCCAATTATAAATGTTGAGGTTGGCAATGCCCATGTAGTTGAATTGCAGCTGTAACGGTCTCGATGAGAGCCAACAAATTGTAACTTAATCCAGACAAGACAGAGGTCCTCCTGGTCAGTTGCAAGGCCCAACAGGACATAGGGTTACAGCCTGTGCTTAACGGGTTACCCCCCCCCCCCCCCCCCGAAGGCGTAGGTTCACAGCTTGGGAGTGATCCTGGACTCATCACTGTTCCTGGAAACCCAGGTTTCAGAGGTGGCCAGGGGAGCTAAAGCTTGTGTGCCAGCTGCGCATGTACCTTGGGAAGTCTGACTTGGCCACGGTGGTCCACGCTCTGGTTACATCCCGAATACACTCCTGCAATGTGGGGTTGCCTCTGAAGACTGCCCGGAAGCTTCAACTAGTCCAATACTCAGCAACCAGGTTGCTCACCGGAGCTGGGTACAGGGACCACACAACACCCCTGTTACGTCAGCTCCACTGGCTGCCTATAAGATTTCGAGCACAATTCAAAGCGTTGGCATTGGCCTATAAAGCCCTGAATGTTTCTGGCCCAGTTTACTTGTCCGAATGCAGTGGGGAGGGGTTAACTAAAGGAGATTTCCTCAAGCCCTTCTCCACCAGTCTTAGGAGAACACTGGTCACCTCAATGGAGGGATTAAAAGGCTCCCCTCCAGCCATATGACTGGCCTTTCAGTCTGGAGGTGAGTGTTATGTTTCCAGTTAATCCCGTACCTTGGGAAGCCTGACTTGGCCACGGTGGTCCACGCTCTTGTTACATCTCAAATAGACTACTGCAATGCACTCTTCGTGGGGTTGCCTCTGAAGACTAACCGGAAGCTTCAACTAGTCCAACATTCTGCAGCCAGGCTGCTCACTGAGGCTGGGTACAGGGAGCACACAACGCTCTTGTTACGCCAGCTCCACTGGCTGCCTATCAGCTTCCGAGCACAATTCAAAGTGCTGGCTTTGGCGTATAAAGCCCTGAACGGTTCTGGCCCAGTTTACTTGTTCAAACTACAATCCACCTAGGGCCCTAAGAACAACTGCAGAGTCTCTGATTGTTGTCCCCCCTAGAATCATAGAATCAAAGAGTTGGAAGAGACCTCGTGGGCCATCCAGTCCAACCCCATTCTGCCAAGAAGCAGGAATATTGCATTCAAATCACCCCTGACAGATGGCCATCCAGCCTCTGTTTAAAAGCTTCCAAAAAAGGAGCCTCCACCACACTCCGGGGCAGAGAGTTCCACTGCTGAACGGCTCTCACAGTCAGGAAGTTCTTCCTCATGTTCAGATGGAATCTCATCTCTTGTAGTTTGAAGCCATTGGTAGGGACAAGGGACAGGGCTTTTTCTGTGGTGGCCCCTCGACTGTGGAACACCCTCCCAAACAAAGTCAGATCTTCTCCTGACTAGGCTTGGGCAAGTTCGTTCGGAAGCTTCTAAAATCGTAATTAATTCGGGGAAAATCCCTTTTGAACCAATTTCGAGCCATGCAGGAATAGTGGGAGGAGTAATTCCGAATTTAAACCACTTACCCATTGTTCGGAATTATTTTCGGATGTCTCCCACAGTTATTTTGGTTTTTAGAACAATTAAGCAACTTTGGCAAAGCCTCGCGGTTTCCCTTCTTGACGGCCACGTTTTAAAATCTCGCAGTTTCCCTTCCTTGTTAGTTTTAAAATCTCGCAGTTTCCCTTCCTTGTTAGTTTTAAAATCTCGCGGTTTCCCTTCCTTGACTGGCGGTGTAGGGCGATGCAGAGGGACGAGGTGGCTGTGGCTAAGCACAGCTTTCCTTGAAGGTTGCTGGGGGCGTGGCCTTCAAGGAGAGCTGTGCTTAGTAGGCTTGGGTAACTACGGAAAAATTTGGTTCTAAACTCATTTCGATTTTAGGGGGGCCCTTGCGTTTCGTTTTTTTAAAGAATTCCAAAATTTTCCTTTAAAAAAGTTCGAAATATACGGAATTTCGTAAAATTACGAATCGATTCGTTAATGGCGGACGCGATTGCGCAATACGCTAAAAAGCCCTCCGAATGGGACAGGGGGAACTTCTGAAGCTTCCCTCTCCCTCTCTTGTTGACTGTTAGTGTGATAATTTATTTTTTATCACTGATAAAACAAACAACAACTATAAAACTTGCACCAGACATACGGAAATAATTACGAAATAATAACGAAATAATAACAAAATAATAACAAAACAATTTCGAAACAAATTACGAAACAATTACGAAACAATATGAAATAAATTGGAAAAATTGTTTCGATTTTTAATTACTCCTCACAGTAGTCCTGCATGGCTCAATATTGGATCGTAAGCTAATTTAAATACGAATTAATAACGAATTACGAAATTAACGAATGAAACCGCCCAAGCCTAGTGCTTAGCCATGCTCACGTCGTCCCTCTGCATGGCAGCTCGCCACCAGGGAAGGGAAACCGTGAGATTTTAAAACTGTTTGTTTAGGCTGACTTTGTCAAAGTAATATTTAATGGTTCTGGAGGGAGAGAGGGGCACCTTCCATTAATGAAGCAAATGAAGTGATTCAAATTTCCGGCTATTTCGGATCTTTTTTTCAAGAAAATTTCAGAAATCATTTTAAAATCGAATCACCAGCGCCCCCTATATACGAAACGAGTTTAGAACAATTTTTTTTCTTGATCGCCCAAGCCTACTCTTGACCTTTCAGAAACAAGTGAAGTCCTGGCTATGGGATCAGGCCTTTGTAGATTAGGCTGACGTGCTGGCGTGACGGCTTTTACGGAACGGAAAGACTGCCCGTAGGACGACGATGACTTAAACCGGTGACTGTTGATTGTTGGATGTTTTATACTGTTTATACTGTTTTATATTGCTCTATTGTTATTTAAATTGCATATTTATGTTTTTGATTGTGGGCACCATGGGGTGCCGTTTTGTTCGCCACCCTGAGTCCCTCTGCAAAGATCGAGCTAGGACAGGATACAAATGTCCAAAATAAATAA